TTCTATGATTCTATGATTCTATGAGCTGCCCAGCAGCACAGAGCGCAGCACACAAGGATACTGCGATGGACCACAACCAGGCCGCTCTGCCCCAGCTGCACGGCTCGCACGGCGCCGCTCCTCCCGTCCAGGTTGGCCACAGGCAGGAGCTCAGAGCCCCCAGGAGCAGCGACCTGATCCCGAAGCTGCAGCTCGTAATGCTCCAGAGGAAATTCCAGCTCTGCAAAGCACAACAATTGCCGTGGTTTTATAACCACCTCCGCTCTCTACGAAGCATTCTCTTTCAGCAGGCACGAACGCAAGGACCGAACAACAACGGCAGCACTCCGTCAGTCTAAAGAAGGAACTGGCTGCTGTTTTCTCCACGCTGGCAGCGTCAGATCAGCGCTCAGGAGCTGCCACACGTGGGAATCGATTCGCATCCACCCTGCCACCATTCCCCATTTCCACAGGGTGCCGCATTCCAGCACAACGAGGCCCCGGCAGCCAGGCGGCTCAGAACCAGACTTCATCTCTAAGGCTCAGAAAACCACAACGAATCCACGGCCGAGTCACAAAGCTCAGCAGAAAACTGGGCTCAACTTACCTGTCATCTTCCCCCGCACAACTTTTGCAACTCTGTATTTCACAAGTGCTCCAACCAGGAGGTGAACATCGTGAGCGGGGATCAGCACTACGTGCTCCAGAACCAGCAGGCGTACCACAGCAGCAGCCACTTTCTAAAGGGAAATCAGAAGGCTGCTGTTACCCACGGCCACGACAGCCAAAGCCGGAAAAAACGACAAAGAAATGCATGTTTTCCATGCAGTTTGCCTTAAAACAGAGGTTTGGATTGTATTTGTTTTTTTTTCTATCAAGAAAATCGTGCTGATTATTCACCTTGTAGGTCGATTCGTGTACTCGCACTCTTATAACCGCTGCTCCAGTCGTGATTCCTGACACCAGGATTCTGTCTCCTTGTTTTTCTGCTCTTTCCAGCTCAACGATGTGGTTTGGTGGGGAATAGTCAGCTTCCGAGTACTTTAAAATCCTGACAAGAAAACAAAAGTAACCTTGGCTGCCATCTCCGTGACCATTTTGGATTCACTAACGCAGCCAGGCTCGTGTGCCACGAGGCCATTGATCAGGAAGAAATCATGAGCAGAGAACTGTGGAAAAAAGCAGGTAGGAAACATGCCTGCAAGTCTCCAATCACAGCCCCAGTTTGAAGCAGAAGCTCAAACTTAAGCTGGATTCCTTGGGATCCCCCCTGACAGAGATTTAAAACTGCCCAGGGATGAAGCTCAAGCATTTAATCCAATGCGTGTGAATTCCTCACCCTAGGAGCACCCCAAGATGAAAGCAAGCCCTAAACATCCCCCCATCCTTCTTGTCACAGTCACCTTATTTTGTCTGACAATTCCACGCTGTCCACATCCTCATCCTTTGCGACGCTCCACTCAAAAACCATTCCTGACAAGCTACTGAACGTGTTGCCTGAAAACAAAAGTGAAAACTCACATGAAGGGGAGAATTCATGCACTCTTGTTAGCTGCCATGGTAAAATCGAGCCTCCTTTCCTTCTGAACACGAAGGCAACAAGCAGCATTTATTTCTCAGAGCACAGCTCTGGCGTGGTACTGGGAGAGCCCTTCTCACAACCGTACCTTTGACATCCAGGGCTCTCACTGCCAGCTCCAGGGGAGAATCCTCCACGTAGATCTCCCGAGTTCGGGACAGAATCTCAATGCTGTTGATCACATCAACCATCACGTCGCAGCGGAGTGTGTGGCCGGTGACTGCAGCAAGGGAACAAACAGCGCTTCGTTCAGCCCCTGCAGGTTCCTATGGACTCAACAGCTGCGAAAAGCTCTGCCAGTGAGAATAATCAATAGCTGCTTTCTCACCCTGCAGAACGTGGCTGAGCTGTTATCACTCATCACAGCTTGTTTTCAACAAAATAATATCACGATATCGTACACTTTGATACAAGTCCTAAATCCTACATCACCTCCCACCTCATGAGCCTCTGCTTTTCCACCCACCGTGCTCCTCAGCCATCACAGCACTGCTCAGCCTGGTGGGCTGTGTGGACTGAGCAGACAGCAGGGCTTTCTGGGAGCACGCAGCACCATTCTCATGAAAGGGCTCAGCTGTGACAACGTTGTCGTGCATGGAACGCCTGAAAGACACAAAGACATTCCCTTCTCTGCTTACGTGTCTATCTTTACAGCACTGTCAGAGCACTGGGCTCCTCACCGCCCTTCTGGGCAGACCACGGGCCTCTGTTGGGCAGGGTACAGACCTCTGTGAGGCAGATCATAGGCCTCCGTCAGGCAGGCCATAGCCCTCCATTGTGCAGGCCATAGAGCCTGTCAGGCAGGCCATGGGCCTCTGTCTGGCAGCCACACAGCACAGCCACGGCCATTATCACACACAAGGCCCCTGACCCAGGCCCCTGCCTCCTCACTGCACCCCGAACCCCTCCATCCCCACACACCTTTCCACCCCCCCACCCCCTTCAGCACTGCTTGCTCCCTCCCTCACCACGAGTAACAGCCCCCCTCGGCCTCCAGCACGAAAGACACCCTGATCTCCCGGCTGAAGGGCAGCAACACTTTGGGCGCATTAAGCTTAAAGGAGCAAGAAGGCACCACGACGAACACAACGAGGGCGAGAAGGCGAAAGCGCCGAGCCCGCCGCATCCTGTCAGCGAAGCAAAATGGCGCCGCTCACACAGCTCTCTGCGCGTGCGCGTTAGGACGACGCGCACCCGGCACCTGCTGGCTGCGCATGCGCGTTAAGAGCACGTGAGCGGCATTAGCTCACTGCGCATGCGCGATGCCCCGCCCTCGCAGCGCGCCAATTTCTCTCCGAGCCCGTGCGCCCCCCCCCCCCCCCCCCCCCCCCCAAGCGCTCCCGCACACCGAACAGAGCGAGGCGACACGGTGTGGAGAGATCGCTTTTTATTTCAAAAGACAGTAAGACAAGTTCTCAATTTAGTATCAAAACACTCGACATCGTTCTTTTGTTTGCTTTTTTTTTTTTTCCTCCAGATTGGCCCCGTAACCGCAACGAGCACACAGCAACGGCCCAGCCTGCCTGCGCTCGGCCTCACAGACACCACAGGGGGAGACGTGGGAGCTCTGCGGGCCCGGAGGGAAAGGCCTCTGCCTGGGGAGGCAGAACTGCTTGGAGAAAAGCAGGACTGAAGCTGTCAGGCTGAGCCCAGGGATGAGGGGCAAAGCACTGAGTGAAGGCAGAGCCACCCCTGGGCATCGGGAGCCACGGCTGCGTGGAACCCGTGAGAAAGGAAAGGGGAACACCGGGGAGGGAAAAGGGAACAACCACTGACCCAACAGCTTGAGCTGTTTGGAGAACAAGGGGAAAAATTTAAAACAAACAAACAAACAAAAAAACCACACACAAAAAAAAACAAAACTGCTTTTGCTCAAATTGCTTCTCCACAGAGTTACCTTAAAGCTGAGAAATGGAACTGCTCGTTTGGCAAGCAGCTCTCAGAGCAAAGCATGCCCAGCCCAGCCCCACTCCCACCTCCTCTCCCCCAAACTGGGCTCCAAGGGGTTAATACCAAAATTAAAGCCCAGAGCTTTGTTTGTAGCTCACCAGCATCGCTTATTTGGAATGTTTACAATGGTTGCTACAAAAAAAAAAAAAAAAGGAAAAAGAAGGTAGTTACAAAATGTGTACATCTCAAACATGCTCTCCCCCAACATTATTGCATCGTTTATTTCCCTTAATTACGCTGTGTGAAGCTCTGCCCAACCCGGTGACCTCTAACCCCCAGGTGAAGAAGCAGAGCTGCATTGGGGCAAGTTGGCAACAGAAAGGAAACGGAGCCCAAGGGTTAGAGGGCAGCGGGGGCTGGGCTGACCCCGGGCGTCGTGTGGCAGAGGCAGCAGCGGGGCTCCATTACATCTCGTTCAGGTCTAGCAGGGTCTGGTCCAGCATTCGTTGCGTGCAGAGATGCTCCTCTTTGGTGGATTTCAGTTTATCTGGCAGGAAGCAAGAGGCAGAGTTACAAGTCAGCTTCAGGCAACGGAGAGACCTCGGGCAACGAAAGCTCACGCCTGCCCCTTCCCAGCGTTCTCAAACCGTGGGTGCCTGGCTGGTTGCAGTGAGCAGCTCTGGAGTTTACCTGTTTCTTTGCAGCCCTCGTTCTCACGCCGCTGCTGCTCCGCAGGACGCGCTCTGAGCTACTGCTGTGGGCAGCACTGTGCATGCAGGTGCCTCAGACTGCAGCTAGCTTCCCCCCGGGGCTTCAACGCTTCAGACAGCAGCCCCCGTGGCCCAGCAAGCCACCCAAGAGCAACTTAAGGATTAAACACACGTAAGAAACCAGCCCCTAGGATTACAACCGATTGTGCCCCCATCCCCCCCAGCGCAGGATAGAGATGCCAAGCTGGCCACCAGGACCGTTGCTACCTAGCAGCAGGGAGCAGACAACCAAGGAGCGCACAAACAGCAGGCAGTGAGCGAGTAGAGCGGGGTGCTGCAGCTCTGCCCGAGGCTCCGGGCAGCTCGCGCAGTCGGTTCTCACATTGTCCTTCAGCCAGGAGGAGAGCTCAGATCAGCAACTAGCACTCTAGGTGCGCTTTACTCCATAGGTGAGCCCACCCATACCACTGAAGAAATCCACGCGGCGGGACACCGGGTAGCCACGCTGTGGGAAGACGGCCTTTAGGAACAGGCGGGTGCTCAGAGCTGCTCTCCACCTCCCGGGGGGGGCAGGGAGGGGCTGCAGCCACCCCAGGGTGAGAGACAGCGCGGCACACGCAGCAAGCAGCACCTCTCCTACAGCACCAACTACTGCAGCATTTCAGGGCTCCCTGCGGGCGCTCGAGAGACAGCTGCAGGTCGTGGGTTCGGAGACTTGCTCTCAAAACACCCGCAAGCTTCCCCAACCCGTCCTGGGACTCCACAGCCGCTCTGAGATGAGGCCCCAGGCATCACTGCTTCCCCCAGACCTCTGAGGTCGACTCGGCTACACAGGAAAGCACTACAGGTGTGCGGCGTCTCACAGACAGCGAGGTCAGTCATTTATTGTTAGGAGCCGTCATTCCATGCAGCAGGAAATCCCACAGTCAGCTAACAGTCATTAAGTTCTAGCCCGTGACAGGCATCTTCCAGCAGGCACGAGCCTGACTTCACACCACCCCTCTCTGGGTGGGTGCAGCCGTTCTGGTTCCCTGGAGGAGCCAGGCAGCCCCCTGTGCAAGTGAACAGGGCTGCTGAAAGATCAGCCAAGGCTGAGAGGTTTTGCACCGAGAATACAGGTTACTTTTATAATAATAATAATAATTTTTTAAAAAGCCCTTAAAATAAGTTAGAGAAGAAATTCAACTGCCCCGTTCAATAGCAGCGGTTGCATAGAATTTGCAAGTGTGCCAGGCTTAAGAGTGCTCAGATCTCAGTGTGGTCCACAGCACTGGTGGTCGCAATTAGCTCGCTTAATGGCATTAGTGGGCCCCTTCTCAGTCACACAGATCATGCAGCGTTAGCTTCAGCTCGTTAGAGAGCAGGCGGCTTTTCTCGAGCTGGCTGTACAGGCGCTCTGCAGCAGCAACAGGATGAGGGGAAGAAGAGGAAGAGAGAAAAAGAGAGAAAGGGCAGGTTAGTAGAGCAGCCAGAGGAGCACGTCCATAGCCTGCCTGCGAGGACCGAGCCCGGGCTATCGCACACAGGAAGCTGGGAAGAACAAAGGTTTACTGCGCTCTAATTTGCTTCTGAGCTCGGGAAGATCGCAGTGGAAGCCACGCATGGGCAGAAGTGGAAGTGCTGCCAAAGGTTCGGGAAGGCAAAGGAAGGGAGAAATGCCAGAAGAGTCCGCAGGCTGGGCTGCACCGTAGCCAGGGAAGGAGAAGGATGTGGGATGTGCTTTAAGCCCGAGGAGGGCTCTGAAGAAAGAGTCCCACAGCAGCTGAACCACAAACACCTCCCAGGGTCCGATTCCTGCACTTGGGGGATTCCAGGCAGTGAAAAAAATCCCTTGGCCACAGCTTCCAGCCGGACAGAAATCATCCTCGTAGCTGCGGTGGCACACAGCGCACCACGACGAGCACAAAGCACAGCTGCTGCCTTCACACCTCGCAGCCTGCAGGTGCTACGGGAACCCCAGGAACCGCCAGCGACCTCAGGAGGGCCGCGCTGTTCCTCGTTACTTTCAATCTAGGAACAATTGCTCCCGAGCAAGGCCTGCCCACGTCAAGTTCAGCTGTTCCCCTGAGCAGTCACAGCACATCCCTCCCTGCCCCCCGAGCCACCCTGACATCCCCACACAGGGGAGAAGCTTCTCCTCACCCAGCTGCACCCCGCTCTGCAGGACACAGGGTGGCAGCGCTGACTGACCCCCCTTCCAAGCCGCCAAGGGACAAAGCAACGACTGGAGGAGCTGAAATTTCCACCCTGCTGCAACCCAAGCAGGAGCAGAGGGAAGCCGTGCTGATGGGGACGCCAGCACCAGCCTGCCCTGCACGCAGGCTCCCAGCATCGCCCTCCCAGCTGGGCCTGGGTCTCTGGGGCAAGAGATGGGATGAAACTGCAGTCAGTGGAAGGGCCAGCAACCAGAGGCTGGGGCAACGGCAGCTCCCAGGCAATATTACTGCTCGTGGGCAGAGCCCTGACAAGGCGCCCATGTGAGGGAGAACCCGACTGCAGTCATCACCGTGACCTTCCTGACACCTCGGGAACGGCTTCTGAACACGGAGCGGCCGCTCACATCTGCAGGGCTGCAGCAATGCCTGACCTGCTCTGCTCCCTCCCAGCCTGCAGGGCAGCCTCGCAGCCACGCGGAGCCCCACGACCCTTTGTGGTCGGCTTATCTGCGCCTGCAGCAATCCTGCACCGGGAGCCCAGCCTGTGGCAACCAGCCTGCACAAGCCCTGCAATCCCGTCAGACCAGAAGCTTCCCAAAACCTCCCAGGGCAGGAATTGCATCACCCACCCACCGTGGAGTTCCACCAGGATGAGCGGGGAACGGGCTTGCCGCGGCCCAGCCTTCAGGAACGTGGTTTGCAACGCCCGCTCCGCTCCATGGGAGCAGGTAACAAACCCAGAGCCAGGACCTCCCCTCGAGGAGAGGCCATTTCACAAGGGCAGGGAGCACCGTGCCACCTCCAGCGGGGGGAGCTGGCAGGCAGTGCTGGCTGGAAGCCTCCACCTCCCGGGAGGTAACGAGAGGCCGCCCCCCACACAGCCAGACCCCCCACCTCAGCTGCACAGCTGGGTACCGACAAGGATTCTCACTTCTGGGACCAGAGCTCCGCAAAGCACCCAGCCAACATCTGCAGAGCTTCCCAAGCTCTTACTCTGGGATTCCTCACAGAAGCGCCTCCTCCTCCCCCGCCCCACGCAGGGGACAGCCCTAACACGGCTCAGCGCGCCACCGTGCCGACTGGGAGCGCCATGTGTGTGCAGAGCAGGCTGTGCACAAACCTGAGGTTCGGGGAACCAGGGGAGATGTCCCATTTCACCAAAGCTCGATTCCTGAAGGGCTCTTCGGGCCCTGTGGCAGAGGAACCAATGCAGGAAGGAAGAAGCATTGGAGAAGCCACCGCGAGGCAGCACAGAGTTACAAGAGGCAAATCAGTTTTCACGGTCCCAGAGCAACCAGAAAGACTCCAGACTCACACCGGCAGCGACGTGTTACGTGCCTGCAGCCGTGCTCAGCGTCCTGCTGTACGCCACATCCACCCCCCAAGGGTCCTCCGCCACCCCCAGCCCCACACAGGAGCCCGAGCTGTGCATCGTGAGCCCCCCGGCACTGCTGCAGCTCTGCCCCCTGAAGCAGGAGCCGTACGCACCCACCCCACGCACAGCACCCAGACTGCTGCTGCCCTGCTGGAAGTCAGCCAGAGGCACGCGGTGTTCAGCAGCTCACACCTCACCAGCCGTGGCGGCTGCCCGCTGCAAGCCAGCACGTGACAACCAAGGCCAGGAGCGCTACAGGTGAGGAGCGCCTTCAGCCAGGCCGACAGACAGACAGGAGGACGCCCTGCTCCGACACAAGGCCCCTCCTGCACCCTACAGAGCGTGCTGTGCGCCAGGGCGCCGCGTGCAGAGCTGCAGTTTGCATCTGTGAGCTGCTAACGCGCCCGCAGCGAGACATGGAGCGCATTAACCAAGGCTGTGTTCCACCAAGGCCCGGGGGGTGACACCAGCATGAGGGCAATACCGCAACTGTTATCTAAAGCAGCAGCAAGTGGTCACTAGAAACCCGTTTCTCAACGGCACCAGCTCTTCTATTCACACAAGAGTTGTTTTTCCTTTAAAAAGGTGACATCATGCTCGAGGAAGAGGCAAGAGAAATACAAAAGGCGCTTTATGGCTCTCCGTAAGATATGCAGATGAGAACAACGCGCTCCCAGCTACACGCAGACATGGCAGAGGGCAGCCCCTCAGAGCACGGCAGCGTCTGGCACACGGCTCAAACACAGGGAGCTTTGTTTAGGAGCGAGCGCAGCGTAACTGGGAGCTGCTGCCGCCGTCAAGCTTCAGCATCCCGACAGCTCATTCCCAGGGATGCCCTGTGCACAGTGAGTGGAAAAAAAGGTGCTGGAATTCAGAGCGAGATGACGAGAGCGTGAGTGCAGGGTGCAGGCGCAGAACAAGCCACCAAGCAGAAAGGCAAATCCAAAGTGGAGTTTGGAATCGCAAGATTCATCTGTGTGAAACAGAAGGAGACACCGGGTTGAAGAGAAATGCAAGTGTTTGTGCACGGCAAACTCGGCTGGGGGCTCTCGGTGCTGCGTTAGGGCTCCTCACAGGGCAGATCCCTGGCCTCCCCTGTTAGTGGTAAGGACTGCGCAGAGCGGCTGTTAGCACAACTCACCGCCGATCCCAACGCAAAGCCAAGGAGCAAAGTTGCAGAAACACGAGTTCAGCTACTTCCACAGATCAGATCGTGGTCCAGTCCGCCTCCAGGCTGCCTGGCAATGCCCACGGAGCCCAGCCAGCTGCTCCTCTCCCCGGAGGAACCCGAGATCGCAGCCTGGCGGCTCCAGCGGGCAACCGAGGCACCGCAGGGAGCCTCTGCAGCGGGGGACTGGAAATGGCACTCCTCAGAGTTGGAGTCAGAACCCTTTCAGGCCAGCACAGCTCTCGGTGTTACGCATGCAGCTCCCAGGGCCCTACAGTTAGAAGGCAGCATGCTGCAGGGCAGCCTCCACAATCCCGGAGGCACAGATCTGTAGAAGTAACCTAAACCACACGGTGCCATTGATTCTCCAGCTACGAAAATCACAGCAAACCAAGCAAGCTCTGGCGGTCTAGCCTGCTGAAGCGAGAGGCAAACACCAGCCAGCTCATATTTACATGGAAGTCATGTCATTCAGGGCGTGGTCCAGTTCCTCACTAATTGCTTTGTACTTCAGTTTCTGGGCATAGAGCTCATCTAGAAGAGGTTTAGGAGGAGAACAAAAGGGAAACAATGAGGGAAGGCACAGGAGTTCTTCCAACACCCTGGGGCAGGAAAAGCAGTGTGGGATTGGTGACCAGAAGACAAATGAAGTCAGATGGGAGCCGCCACGACTGCGCCGCGTGGCTGCTGGTCCCTGAGCAAGGAATGGGAGGTTTGACGCGGCCTGAGGACAGCCTGAGCAGCTCAGACCCCACGGCTCATGAGAAGGAGCCGCTCGGCCAGGTCAGCGCGAGCCACGAGGGGAGGGCAGCTCCACCTAAGGAGATGATTGCTAAACCAGAGGAGGGCACGGATCAGCAAAGGGTTCTGTTCTCACCTTGGGTTTCAGTACAAAAACCTGTTTGGGAGAAGTCAGTTAAGTAACAGCGGTGAGCAAGAGAGGGAATTCCCATCCCGTGGGATGAGCCCAACAGAAGGGCCACACCTGGGCTCTCATCAGATAATGGAGCAGGCTGGGCACTGCCACCTTCCACGGGGGTGGCGGCCTTGGATCTCACACCGCTGTGCTCCCACATGGCGCAGAGCTGGCAGGCTCCTGCCCAGGCTGCAATGCTGTGGCATTCACAGCTTCCCAGGGCCCGGAGAATTTGATCGGTTGTCATAAACTAGGTCACCTCAGCAGCAATGCCAGAAGGAGCCAACGCTCAATCAACATCTTTCGAGGGCAGCATGCAGGGACTTGGGAGGATTTCAGCTCCCCTGGACCGCAGGGTGGCTCGGGTTGCTGCTTGGCTGCAGTTCTGGAACAGCTCTGCTGACAACGCTGCTATTTCTGGAGTAACCCAGGAGTTTTACTCGGGCTGTAGGATGTGGCTTTCCATCTCCAAGACCTGGCACTAAAAAGGCTGCTAAGGCCCATGCTGTGGCAGGAGGCCTGCAAGAGCTCTGGCTCGCCAGCGTGGCTGCTCCACCACAGCTATCTATGGAAGAATCCACAGCCTCGGATCTGAGGAGGCAGCTGGAGCTTTCTCCTTGCACGGCTGGGAGAGAGGACAGGCTGCAACATCAGGAGCGCTCCTGAAGTACTGTGAAACCAGGAGGAAAGGAGCCCAGCATCAGCCAGACCAGAGGACTTCTGGCAATTAGGGGCACTTTTATCTTGAACTGACGCTGGGGAGCCTCAGGCCTGAGGCTTGGTTCCTAACGCTGTCTGCAGACAGGCCACAAGCAGCAAATTCCACACAAAAGAATGTTATCGTAACCAATCCCTGCGAGCTCAGGTGGTTTTTTTTCCCCCTGTGCCACTCCTTAAATGGGGTTAAGCTGGAGCACGGGAATCCGGTTACATTCCTGAGGACAGGACAGCCAAGATCACCGCTCTCTCGCTATCTGTGCCATCAGGCAGGGCGTCGGGAAGCTCAAGGGCCGCCTCAGCGCAGCCAGGGAGCCGCAGCCAGGGCAGATCGTGGCCCGGAGGCACCAGCTCAACACAGGCAATGGGTTCAGCCTCGCTCCGAGCGACTCAGAGCCGCACCGCCGCTCCCCAGCTGCCTGGGAGGCGGTTGTTCTCAGCTCCCCACTCATCACCACGCTCCCTGGCTTCCCCTCCCCAAGATGTACCTTCCAAATCGTCGATGGTCTTCTCCAGCTTGGCTACGGAGCGCTCAGCAAACTCAGCACGGGTCTCCGCCTGCAGACGGGAGCGAGGCAGTCAGCGCGACGGCTTCTGCCACACAGGGCAGACCCTCCTGAGCCTCCCCACCGCTCACCTCTTTGAGTTTATCGGTCAGGATCTTGATCTCTTCCTCGTATTTATCCTCTTTTTGGGAGTACTGCGGGGAAGGAAAGCAATGGGTGACCCGCAGCCCTCGGCGGCCTCGTGCATCTCCTATCCTAAAGCCTACAGCTACAAAGGGACGCTTCAGCTCCCCACTGCAGTACGCATGCCCACAAACTTCCAAACTCTGAGCCCTCGCTCCAGGAGGGCTGGGTCAGACTGCAAGTCCCACACCATGCACGTAACACACCAACTCAGGCACAGGAAAGACTCTCATCCCAGCAGCATTAACGTCCCAGCCGCCCCGAGGCAGGGGCACAGCAGACCTCCCGCACTCACAGCTTCTACAGTCAGATCAGTCCTGTGCTGAAATCCACCACCTCTCCTGGGAAAGCAAGCACGGCTCTCCTCGCTTAAGGCTGCAGCTGCATTATCTCCATCCCAGCGGGCGCTCTGCCGTCACGCACCCTTCCAGCAAAGCAAACGTTTCTGGCCCTTGGAAAAGTAGCCCTACCTTCTCAGCCTGAGCCTCAAGAGACTTGAGATTGTTGGTGACATTCTTCAGCTCCTCCTCCAGCTCGGAACATTTACTGTGGGGTTTTGTAAAGAAAGAGGGGAGGAAAAAAAAAAAAACAAAAGGAAAAGAAGTGGGAGGAAAAGACAGGAGAGAGGAGAAGTGAATCCATGTGCAGGGGAGAGCAGGGAGTTCTTCAGGAGGCTGTCTGCGATCAGACGGGATGGGACCTTGCTTTGAAGCACTTCTGCAGAAAGCAAGCTCCCTTCTAGCCTCCAAGGTCACGTTTTAGATACGCTGCCAGCGCGGGCACCAGGCAGCCAGCGGCACGGCCGGGACCCGGCGTCCTCACGTAGAAGCTGCACGTTTGTTCTGCTGAAAGGAGGGAAGCTGCTCCGACAGACAGATGGGCAGCTGCCACCACTCAGACAGGACAGAGGACAGAACATTCCAGGAGAGAGAAGGACGCAACGAAGCTGAGGGAAGGAGCGCAGCGAGAAGTCCACGAGAGTTCTGGTTTAATGGCTCGAGGAGGGAACGGTTAGTACCTTTTCTTCGGCAACAGACAGACACTTCAAGTTCTGGTCCATCACTCTGATCTGCTCCTGCAGCTCCCGGACACGACTGTTAGTGACGTTCACATGATGGCACAAGCCAGGTGGGGGCAAGGGTCAAAAGGAGCACCAAGAACACAACACCGCAGAGCCAAAAAGGGGCAGGGGAGAAACACAAAGAAGTCATGGTCACGACATGCGTGTCTGGGCAGGAAGCACGGCGCCGCTGCCGCACACGTGCTGGCTTTGTTAGACGAGGCCCGCAGTACAGAACGGCCCTGGGCAGCTCCTGGAGGCGCACGAAAGGAGCCCGAGCGGCACCTCTGCCACCTCTGCTCCAAGCAGGAGCTCAGCTTGCTACTCAGCAGCGCAAACATCCCCGTGATGGCTGGAAACGCTGAAGGAGGCCAGAGACCAGCCTCAGCCACAGCTCCGCTCTCTGCTCCCAGGAAGGAGCCCTCGGCCATTTTAGGCTCAGCGCCACGTGCCCCACAGCGGTGTGTGCGCATCCAGTGACCAAACAGCGCTGCTGGCTACGAGCCTTGAAAGCCCGACCTCAACAGCTAGAGAGGCACTCGTGCAAAGGTCTGAACATCTCTGTGCAACGCGAGGCACGGCGTGTTGGGTTTGATGCACGCAAACTCCACCTTCTCAGTGGATCTCATCCTGTTCCGAGCAGGAGATCAGCCCCAGCTCTTCCATTTGGAGATCTGAGCCCACCCTGTACTTCAGGCCTTGTGTAACAAGGTTAGAAATGCCATCGGTGTTAGTTCCCATGCACAGCTACACGTGCCAGTCACATGCAAGCAGGTTACTCACGACTCTGCGAGCTCAGCTCTCTCCTCAGTACGCTCCAGGTCTCCTTCTATGATCACCAGCTTCCGAGCAACCTGGGAGGGAAAAATCGGAGTTCACAGCAAGAAAGATGAACGCCGTTCTGGTCGCCCGGGAACGCCTGCAGGGGCCACTGGCATTGCCAGAGTCGCTGGCTGGGGGAAGTGAGCCAGGTCCCCCACACTGAGAGCACAGACCGCAGGAAGAGCAGCCACCTCTCCTGGCCAGCACCAGCTGCACGGCAGCGCCCAGGGCTCTCACCTCCTCATACTTCCTGTCCGCCTCCTCTGCAATGTGCTTGGCTTCCTTCAGCTGGATCTCCTGCAGTTCCATCTTCTCCTCATCTTTCAGAGCTCTGTTTTCAATGACTTTCATGCCTCTGCCCGAAAAACAAAGAAAGCACATCGGAGAGCGATGACTAAAACAAACCCCCCCCAACCAGCAGCAGAATGCACACCAGAGAGCAGACAGCATTCCCAGCCACAGCACAGCCCTGCTGAGCCACCACACCTCCGAGGGCAGAGGACGGCACGGGAAAGCAGCGCTGCTGTGCTGCTGCTCAAAGTTAACTCTGCTCTGAGCACGGCTCCAGCAGCTCACTGCGCTCCTGGAGCACAGGAAGCACAGCTGGGAACAACAGGTCAGGAGGGATTCTGTGCCGCAAGCCAGGCACTTCCAGGCTGAAGCACAGGAAAAGCCGAATCTTGATGGCAGCCAGCAGCCAGGTCAGGCTGCGCTACAGAGCAGAGTGCATCAGCCAACTGGAAACGCTGCTGGGACCGCTCCCCTCCAAACCACGTTCCCAGCTCAGGAGCTCCCGGCCAGAAGGGAGCTTGCAGCAGGAGGGGCTCCCCTGCCTCCCCACTGCTCCTTCAGGAGGGAACCCAGCAGCCACGGCTCCCCGAAGACCAACAGCCCCACTCCAGCAGCAGCAGCAGGTCCTCCCACACCCGGCCTCACCGTGGCACCGGCTCCCCACCTTCGGAAGCTGAAGATGCCGACACCGCAGGGCCCCATCCAGGGACCCCCCCTGCACGGCTGACAGCACAGCGGCCTCCCCTGCTCACCTTTCGCTTTCATCTGCGGCCTTCTCAGCCTCCTCCAGCTTCTGCAGAGCGGTGGCGAGGCGCTCCTGGGCCCGGTCCAGCTCCTCCTCCACCAGCTGGATGCGGCGGTTCAGGGATGCCACCTCTGCCTCAGCCTGGGGGGGAGCAAGGAGGGCGGCTGAGCCTGCAGGCAGCAGCACAGGGCAGCTGGGGGACAGCAGCAGCACTGAGGAAGCCCAAACAAAGTGGAGGAGCTGCATCCACTTTCTTACACCAAGTCCTGCATTCCGAGATAAGCCTTGCAACATTTCACACGGGCTCACGCACGCAGCAGCCGCTGCCACACAGGTTTCTCGCCTGTCAGCTCGAGCTGACGTGACACTTTAAGCCATAAACACTAAGTGGATGACTTACACTAATGTCTCTTCTGCACAGCTGCTGTAATCCTGCCAGGCCATCAATCAGCCCTATTTATCCGCTGCTCCAGCGCGCCGTGACAGCCGGCATTTAGCACCAAGTCAGTTTACTCCTGCGATCTGGATGCCGGCGCTGCTCAAATCCAAGCCCCTCTCAACAGCAACTCAATGATCGGCTCCGTGCTCAGAGCTCTGCCTGCCCCGCTGAGGGGCCACAGCGCAGCTCAGGGGCTCCGGCCAGCGGCACTCACTGATCCCACAGAGCAGAATCCTCACCCGGCCCAAGCCAGGCTGGGAGCCACTGCCCAGCAACGCGTGCCAGCACGATGCTGGGAGCCCACGGGCTCAGCTCATCGCCCAGTGTGCGACCACAGCAGCGACCGAGGTTTGAGTGAAGCAGCAGAGCTCAGAACCGCCACCCCCAGAGCTCCAGCAACACCCCCAGCAGCCACATCTGCTCCATAAAGCCCTGAATGGAGCCTGCAGGCAGCCTCAGAGGGACACCAACGCCCCAGGGGCACCCCAAAAACGGCCAGCACCCCCTTCAGCAGGATTTCCACACCGCTACCAAAATGGAGGCGGTCACAGCCATTTCCCAGCAGCGATGCACCGCAGAGCCCAGCACACAAACACACAGCAGGCACGTAGGAAATACCCCAGCCTCCAGCAACGAGGCCACGCTGAGCCCACCGGCCATGCCCAAGGAAGGAGGCCGGAGCACGGCCTGCCACAACCCACACCCTGCCTCTCCTCCCCCCGGCAGGATGCAGGAGCACTTTTGCTTTCGGCTGCAGGCACACCCTGCTCTTCACCATGGAAACCCGCAGCACTTCGATGCACAGCACACCGCGACCCAGAGCTGCTTCGGAGGAGGAAGCGCTCTGCTCAAAGAGGAACCAAACGACGCACCGAGCAGGAGAGGAGCAGCTTTCACACTGGTGAATCTCCTCCTCCTCCCAGCAAACGGAGGCACGTCGCTCCTCCATCCCCATCCCCCCTTCCCCTCCGGGCCGCCTTCCTGCAGGCAGCGCTTCTTCATCCCGCCGGGCAGGACGGAGCCCGGCCAGCGCAGCAGTGACACCTCCGGGCAGCCCCACGGCACCTCCCATCACCCCCCATTTCCTTCAGGAAGCGAAGCCTGAGTCAGAAAGCCCGGAGAAGGGAGCCAAGCCAAGGGCAGAGCCGGCCAGCATCGCTTCCCAGGGCGCGGGGAGCAGAGCCGGGGCCGCGGGCTGAGCACGGCTCCGCTCTCACACAGCGGCGCTCCGGTGCGAGCAACGCACGTCGCCATGACAACGCCGCAAGTACGGGAGAATTCCTTATGTGGCTGCAAAGAAAAGCAGCGCGGGGCTGGGAGTGGCCCGGCCGCACCGCACAGCTCCGCCGTCAGCCCCGAACGCCGCTCCGCCGCCATTCCTTCCGGGCACCGGAGCGGCTCCGCAGAGCTCCGCGGCCCCCCGCGCCCCATGGCGGCACCCCAAAACCGGGACGGAGTTGCGGACCGGCCGCTCCCTGCCGACTCCCGCCCGGCCCTCCCCGGTCGCAGCGCGGCGTTCCCTCCCGGTGCCCCGCACCCCGCCGTGCCCGCACAGCGCGGCCGGCTCCGCCCTTCCTGCCGAACCCTATGGGACCCTAAACCCCGCTTTAGGCGGCGCAGCCCGGAGCGGAACCCGGAACGGCACCGCGGAGCCCGGACGGAGCCCCCAGCGGCACCGCCCAGATTTTAGGGGCAAAAAAAAGCGAAGCTCCGTGACAGCGGCCGACCGCAGCCCGGCCCCACGGAGCCCCGCCGGGACCCCGC